CTTAAAAACCAGGACGATGGATAAAGTCCAAAATCCCAACATATCAGTGTGTTATACTCTAACACCATCGTCAGAATCCTATAGTAACTACTTTTTATCATAGTTGTATAACAAAAAAAAGATTCCCAAGAGACAATTCTCAGACTCCCTTAAAGTTTAATAAAACTGAACTTGAAAGAAGTTAATGGCGCGACATAAAGGGAATTATAATACTGTGACGTGCTATATGACGTCCAGCGCTGCTCAACGGCTGCAATGGGAACGCATACTTCAGCGACAGCGAATGAATGGAAATTGTTGAGTTCCCACAGCGACGAATTGAATACCAACAGACCGTTACGTAGAAATATCCGTAACAACGGATTGTTCGTTGCACGATAACGGTTGAAACCAAACACTTCTACAAGGTATTCTATATTGAGGGCGCCCCACAGAAACAAGACCGTAACTGTCAAACAATAATAAATATCTGGTCATGAGCTCCAGATGACGTTCGGAACCAAGACTTATTGACTGACTGACTGACTGACTGACTGACTGACCGTCAGTCGCAGTGTGACTTTGACTTTGACTTTGACATTGACTTGAGAGTTCAGTGAACACCCGTGTAAATGCGGCGTCGAATACCTGTCTCAAATCTGAGACAGTAAAATATGGTCGCGAGTACCAAGGGTCTCGGACCCGAGGAAGACTGCGCTGGCAAGGACCAGCAGCATATACAAAAGACAGACCCGTCCTCTTGTCAGGGAGGGCGCCCACAAAAGAACAAGACCGTAACTGTCAAACAGTAATAAAGATCTGGTCGCAAGCCCCAGACGGGTGCTTTATGCCAAGACAGACTGGCCGAATGACCGTCGGTCGTAAAATGATTCTGATGCTCACAGTTTTGGGTTCGACTCTAGCGAGATAGAAGCAGGTTGTGCTCAGACATCGCAGAAGAGTTCCAGAGTGTACTAACGGTACAGTAGCGCTCTAAGTGAGTAAGTGTACGGGTGTGTGTACAAATAAGCGTCCGATAAAAGAATTCCTTCCGATCCGAAGGCCCACGCAATTTATTCGTGTCGAGTCACACAGCCGACACATTACAGTACTAAGATACCGACTATTTTAAAATGTAAAATATCTCAATCAGAATTGACGAATAGGCCTAAATTTAAATTTCGCCGCTTGCGAAAGTACTTTGTGTGGAAATCCGCTGGGTCTGCTTCACTGACACGATGTAGACTCTTTTACGTCGATGAAAAAACTGACATGTAAATCGAATTAAATAATACAGGCTAACACTTTATTAAGAAGCCTCTCATATTTTGTGTGCATTTCGATAGACATATATTACAACGATATTTCTCATACAAAATCTCTAGCCATGCCTATTTCATATTGACTGTTTCGAATAATGAGAGACAGTTGATACTTTTAAATTAATAGGAATTAAAAACATGTTATGAGTAATGACTCATGATGTAATTCTCTTTTCTCTAAACAAATTGCATTGGCTTTTTCGAATATAAGTATAAACACACGCTAAAAAAGAGGAATTTAATTTTTGAATATTGAGATGTAATTTCTACAGTGTAAAGGTACATTAATTTATGACGAGAGAGCAATATTTTATTAAATGTTATGATAAGTTCTTTTATAGCTAAATTGTAGTCTAACATGAACAACTGATACACCTGGTTGTGATACACTCTGCAATTTTAGTACAAAATTGTAAAGAGCATACCTTGTCGTACACTCAGTCCCCACTCTTACGAATAGATACTTTCTTGGAAAGAGTTTGTAAAGCTAAATTTCATAATGCGAATTGCTATTTTCTACAGACTCAATGAGATAACTGGAAGTTATGTTCCAGGGCGAACAGAAGAGTGAATCACCAGCTTCATTGCTTAAAACCTACAAGCATCAAGAAAACATATTGGTTTATGCTGTAACCATTGCAGACCCTGTGGTGCTATAAAAATAGGAATACAAATTCTCTGACCTTAGCTTTCGCACACATTATCCGTGATTACTAAAGTTTAAACCAAACAACTTTTTAGAAAGTAGCAAAATCTCAAACAGGATGCACAACAAAACAGAGAGAGCTGACTGGGCGACTTCGCGTTCATTTGTTTCTTTTCCAAAGAGATTTCGGATGTGCAAGTTCGCGTTCGGTTGAGATGGCAAACCGAGGACATGCACTTCGTGATGAAAGGGTGTACGAACGAAATTTCGTAATGCAGGAGTTCATAGAGCGAGGACTATCTGTGTTACTGAGTGGGAAATCTGTAAAAGTCTTTTCCAACGTCACTGACTTCACATGGCATGACATATGAAGTATACTTTTGCCACATGCTGTTGCAACTAAAGTAACTGTTAAGACGAAGTGCTGTGTTATAACTGTATTACTATACGACCGAATATAATTGAATTTATGTCTATAGCTGGCATTATTAAGTCTAAGTCGAAAGAATAATAAACCAGGTTTTGTGCTCGAAAATAAATGGAGAACTGCTATTGTAAAGGTACACACACACAAATGTCTGTTGAGAATGTTAAGAACGTACATCGTAATCGTTGATAGATTGTGCAATACGGTCTTATCACGCTTGATTTATTAGTGTCATATTTCTCTTCGTGTGGTAGCGCAACTTATCGAAATACTAAGCTTGTATCGTAACTGCCACAAGTGTCATTATATTGCAATTAATGTAATTTATAATCCTGAGTAATAATTGACGAGGGCCGCGCCATAGCTCAAGCGGTTAGTCGCTGGCTTCCCACCACGGCGGCCCCGGTTCGATCCCCGGTCTGGTCAAGTGGGGTTTGTGGTGAACAAAGTGGTGCTGGGGCAGGTTTTCTCCGAGTACTTGGGTTTCCCCTGCCAATCTTCATTCCACCAATTGCTTCACAATCACCCTTACCTATCATCTGGGGCTGGTACAAGAGCCCAGAAGTGGCCGCAGTACAAGGGACTTAGTCCCACCCCAGTAGCAATAAAAGAAAATGGACAAGGAAGAAACCACTAGCACAGCGTGGACCTAGCAGTTCTAATGCTTTCGTTCTGCCTTTGCTTCTAGATTTTCAGTTCGTGAGTGATGTTCTCCTAAGAGGGAAAGTCAGTAAATAGATCACAAACGAATATGAAACGTGAAACATGTGATATTCAAACCCGAGGAGAAACATTTATTTCTCGACATATCCTCCATCAGAAATTTTAGGGGCTGCAAGGTTGGTATTACTGAAGGATAGGATTTACGAATTACAACGGGTGAGATGGTATTAGATGCCATCATATATATACTGTGACGTTACAACTGAAGAGAGGTCCGTTATTATGTTACTGCACAGTAAACACCACGTCACCCTAGCAGCTGTTACACGCGCAACAATAGAGGTACAACTGTACGGTCCGTGCGGTCCTTGACAGGAGTACAGAGGCTTAAGCTTGGCGGTGGTCAAGCTTACGACCGTTCAAATGACTAAGCTACCGTTGGAGCATAAGATAAATAAGATGAACATAATCTTCTTTGCAGAGCCTTGACTGACAGAGGGCTTGTATATAGTACATAAGGAAGAATTTTCAATAACATGCTGTATGTGTGATACGTACGCTTGAGAAGGCCAAGTTTGTTCGTAAGAGACAAACCCATCCTCCCGTCAGAGAGGATGTTACATAAGGACTACGACAGGAAGGGTTCATTTAAAAAAAAAATCTCTGTTCGTCAGCCTGAAGGGGCTAGTCTAATCACTAAACCCATGACAATACCAAATTTCATAAAGATCTGTTCAGCCATTAAAAATTAATGGGGAATACACATACAGGCACAGACACACACAGATAGCAAGTTGATCTCATAAGCCTACTTTTATTTTTTCAAAGTAATTAAAATAAGCTAAAAGCATGTTGTTTTGTGTATAAATACGCGAGGAAGTGAGACGGTTTGAATTTCGAAGTTACATTAGCATGTCCGCATGAAACAGAATTGGTCTTAATGGAACATAGGACCAAAGCGAAGCTCTAAAGTCAAGACATTTCTTCGCTTCATGCTTTCCAGGCGTACGTGGTTCTGTGCCTTGGCAGGAATATAATGTTTATAGGTCAAGTATTACGGCCGCCTTGATTTGCTTTATCTGGTTGTAAAAGAAGAGAAATTAAATAGCAGAAGGAAATAAATAACAACAGCATAAATGCTACTGTTAACTTCAACAACAACAACACAAACTGCACATGAACAGCTGATACAACTTTGGACAAATATACAGGGTGCAAATCTGAGTACAGCTATAATTTCATTAAAGTATTTCTTGTTATACCTTATCATTTCATCCATCCATGCATTCCACGATCATCTACCTGCCTACCTACCTCGACTGGTCCCTATCCTGAGCCAGATCAGTCTAGTCTATACCATCCCATCCTGTCTTTCTAAGATCCATTTTAATATTGCTCACCCACCTACGCCTTGGTCTTCCCAGTGTTCTCTTTCCGTCTGGCTTTCCCGATCATATCCTATATGTATTCCGCTTCTCCCCCATTCGTGCTACATGCCCTGCCCACCTTATCCTCGTTGACTCGATAATTCTAATTATACTTGGAGAAGAGTACAAGTTATGAAGCTCCTCATTATGCAGTTTTCTCCAACCTCCCGTCACTTCATCTCTCTTCGGTCCAAATATTCTCTTCAACGCCCTGTTCTCGAACACCCTCAGTCAATGTTCCTCCCTTAATGTCAGATACCAAGCTTCATACCCATACAGAACCACAGGCAAAATTATAGTTTTCTATATTCTCATTTTTGTGTTTTTAGACAGGAGACGAGAAGACGAAAGGTTCTGGACTGAAGGGTAGCAAGCATTACCCGAGTTCAGTCTCCTCTTAATTTCCTCCTGAATTAGGTTTTGATTTGTTTTCGTCATTCCCAAATATCTGAACTGTGTCACATTTTCAAAACATCGGTTACCTGTCTTTATGTTGTGGTTTTGCACTGCGTTTTGGTGACGAGACAGTAGCATATCAAAAAGTAACACTAGTCTTATTTATATTTTTAATTTTCGCACTGTTAAATGTTTATATTTTTATGAATTTTCTGGAATTATGAATGACGCCGAAGCTGGTAGTAGCAAAAATAATTTTCGTTGTGAAAGAGCACTCGAAGATAGAACAGTGACCAATTTCGTGACTTGTGAATAGCACCACAACGATCAGATATCAGCATGCTCAAGTGCGGTTCAATGAAAAAATGACGCGCTAACTTTGGGCAGACCTGGAATTTAAATAAAAACTAAACAGCAGAAACTATTCGTTTTCGGTAATTAAGGTTTTTTTTCAAAATTTCAGAAAAGAAAATCTACTACCACTTAATACAGATATTACAAGTATCTTAAATTCTAAGTGTACCAGCCAACGTCCTGTCGGAGATGGTTTATAAGAGTTCATGAGAAGAATTTCTGGACTGATTCTACTTTTCAATTGTATGGTGACATTAACACTCAGACTTCATTATGACCAAAAAAATTATTTACCTGATATTTGCATTTGGGGTGGCGTCGCTTGCTCTCGTAAGCCTTCTCTTTGACACGACCGTGACTGGTGAAAGCTGCCTAAAAATGGCACGTAACGACAGTTCGGGCTCAACTTATTTCATCATCGCCAGACGTTGATATGCATTCTTGTAGATGGCAGCAAGATATTGCTCCTTATCACTTCTACCCATCTGTTATCGACTGACTTAATTTTCCATGGTGCTGGATAGGATGTACAGATGCACTGAATGGCTGCCAAAATCCCCAGACGGACGGACAACTAACAGCTGCAGGGGCCTGATTTAGTTAGCTACTTTCCATGCTGACTATAAGGATTAATTAAGCCCCAAGTGTCTGCTTGGATTAGACCAGAACTAGACGCTTCGTAGTATAAAATGCAGCGATATGTCCCACCATGAAAGAATGTGGCCGAAAACATGAAATTGAGGAAAATATATGCGCAATTAATCCTGTAAAACTCTAACAAACTTAATATTATGAAGAAAGCAGTCTTCTGGGATTTGGCACCGTGTATATGTGGTGTTAACCGACGTTTCGGAGGAACGTATCGCCTCCATCTTCAGGGTAGAAGAAAAAATATATAAGAAATCTGCAAACAAAGAGACCGCGAGAACCGGTAAAAGCAGACAGTGCACCGTGTATATGTGGTGTTAACCGACGTTTCGGAGGAACGTATCGCCTCCATCTTCAGGGTANAGCCTCAAATCTTACAACTTAATATTATGCTAGTAAAAATGTAAACATGAAATTTAATATATTTCCGGCATATCACGAAGAGGTGAAATCAAAGATCTCGGAGATAGGAAGCTTCTGGTTTCGGATATTTCTAGCCCCCAGGAAGGCCAACCAGTTCTCACTCTATAGAAGTTATTTGAATATTTTTGCGTATACAGTGCGGTCATCTGAGAGCTACCCGAAAATCGTTTGACCGTTCAGGCGAGGTAGAAAAAAATCCCCACGTCATCTCGAGCCGTACATGTTGATACTGACAAAAGACTCGATAAACCAAGATTATGTACAGATTACAAATTTGCTTTGCATATCGCCCCAATAAGTTGCTGAACAGCTACCGTGAAGTAGGCCTATGTGTTATGTGATGGTCGAGTACAGTTTGAATTTCAGGGAGTTTGTAGCAGTTCATGTTGCCGCTTTTTAAACTCCCACAACAGAATGTGGTGCTCTTACATTGGCTTCCATTAAGAATTATACATATAGTCTCACTACTTGTTTACAACTGGGGACTGCAGGTGGCTATGGCCACTCAGTGGCTAAGACAACCCCCCCCCCCAAAACCATAAACATCAAGCAAAAAGCTATAGTATCAATTCTCTGTGCCAGAGTTTCTCATCCTATCCTTCAGACATAAAACCATAGGGGTTTACATAGGGGTTGTTATCAAACTTCCTTAGCACTGCAACCATCGCTTGTATTTGTTGGCATCGCGTCTTCCCTTGCGTAATTTCAAACCGAAGCAATTACTATGCAAGCTGAAACCACTGGCAGAATTATCGGAATATTTGCCATTGCAGTTAGTACAATGAAGCTCAGTGTGTCCTTAAAGGAAAGGTAGGAAAGTTAAAAAGCACGAGTTCTACCAACCGTTAGCCATATTTTTGTCTGAGGTTGGTACTCGAGTTTGAAACGAGAGTACCTGAAGTTAGTCTGGCAATATAATGCAAACTTTACACATCCAATTACTTTAAAATACAATTTGTTGTTTGTACGATAAAACACGAGGGCGAATTGACAAGACGCATCCATATTATGCGTGCACTGTATATACTCCACAGAAAGAACAATACAAATTTCAAATACAATAATTACAGACAGCATGTTTTTGTGTATTGTATACAATGATCAACTGAGTACTCACTTCTAGACTTCCGATCTCTCGGGGGGAACCGCCGTCTGAAGACACCATGATCTTATCCCGGATCGCCCAAATTTATCACGAAACCTAAACAGACCACTTGACACACAATCGCAACACAGATGCAGCGGTGAGATTTCCCCTCTTTGAACAGCAATGTCTGTACATTTTATACACTGCACAGGTACAATTAAAGAAAATAGCAGATATTGTGAGTGTATTGAAAATACGAATGATGGATATACAGGAAACTTAAATAAATATTCCAAGAAAATACTGTCTTAGGAGTTGGGTTATGGTCTCACGTAATTAGCGGAAGCGTTAGGAAAAAGGCGACACGAATATGAGTGGTGCGAAAATTCACGCTTTCTTTCTAATTGGTTATGTAAACATTGGCCCTATCGTTATTAATGGAACGAAAACGGATATGCACTGACCGCACTCTGTGAATGCCGGCACTGGTATGGAGTCCAGTCCTACGCCTGATCAATAGCTGCGAAGCGACTCTGCCCTATTACATACAGGCGTCGCGGCTACTACGGTAAGACGGAAGAATATGTTCGTGCAAGGCTTTAAGGCTATAGCCACAGAAGCGCGGCGTTTTCGACGAACGTGAAGTAACACGTTGGCCACAAGGACAAATTGTTCATGACCTTTTACAGGGATAGATTTCTGCATTTCTACGTCGAAGACGAGAAACAAACGAAGAAAGTGGAGATTCAGTTCTTTAATTTGTGGAAGATTTCATATACTTCATGCACAACTGTAGAGGTAACCTGGAAAGTGTTCCGAACTTCACCTATTATCCGTCATTTCACTTATATATATAAATACAAAGAATATATAAAAAATATATATAGTAAAAAGAAGTAAAGCTATCCCTGTAACAGGCCTTCACGGCCTCTTACAGGGACGTTGAGGCTCCCACATTATCTAGACAATCGGCTCAGAGATGGCGGTAAGGTTGTCAGCCTTACGCGCCGGCCGCGCTTTACTCCCCAGGAAAATTATTTAATTAATTCCTGGTACTCATTTCTGTTAGAGGCTGAGTCAACCCCAGGGTCATAGTGCGGCTGGAAGGATTAGGTCGATTGAAAAAATCCAATGACCTCATCGGGACTTGAACCCGCGACCTTCCGGCTTGTAGCATAGCCCCTCAACCAACTACGCTACCGCATATATATATTCATTCATCAGTAATCTGTCAGACGATAGGTCCACAGTCTCTTCCAAAACAGTTCCTCCACTTAATGCGGTCTAGAGCTTTCTCCTTCAAATGAGAATATCCTCTTCTGTCCCCTTTGTGTGTGTGTGTGTGTATATATATATATACACACACACACATATACAAAGAAGTTTTCTACAAGAAATAATGATATCAGACTTTTTCGTGGGTAACATTTTAGGTTGCATGGAAGTAAACACCTTGCATGGTTACAGATTATCATTAAAATAAAACAAGGGCACAGTTTCACAGAATACGGCATAGAAACCTTCCATAGAAATGGAACCATTACGGCCAAAGATTCCCTCAGTTACCATCCACTTTCTTATTCTCGTATTTGCGAAACATTTGCTGAGATCGGCATTTTAGACTTGGAAGAATTGTGATTTGTCGCCGTATGATTTGTTGGAAGTTTCGGAGAAGCTCACTGCCGCCATCTTCAGGGTTGAAGATTGAACGCAGCAAACAACAAGTAGACTGCCTATTTGATATATTCTTCGATCCTGAAGATAGAAGCAGTACATTCCTCCGAATCCACTGTAGATTTCTACGAGACTACACGGCGCCACATTTCAGACGGCAACACTCTAAGTCACCACCTTTAGAACCTCAGCTCTACAAATTAAATGTTTTCAAACATTATAACATTAACATGACACTGAATTGATTTAGATTTTGCATGCTTACTGCAAAAAAGGTTCATTCTATCTAATCTGATTAACCGCAACCTATGCAGATAATTATACATCCATTCACTACGAGTTAAGAGTCCATTTGGAACAGAATGGATTTCAAGTACCTGTGATTGGAGAATTTTGTATCTGACACGTGTGAAAAGCAAGCGAAAAGCACAGTAATGTACTGTCATATCCCATATACGTTCCAGTCGCAATTGTCGCAGTCTTACCGTACTAAAATGCAATGGCTTCACTTGACCGTCAAAAGAGTTGGGGCCAGGACCGATTACCCTCCCCCATCCAATGCCTATAGTTAAGGAAATAGGGGAAAAATTGTGTTTTTATTTAAATGTTTATTATATTTTTTTTAAGTTAACAAAGTATAAACTTTTAGCAAGTGTAGGTTTATTCTGTGTTGACAGGAACGCTTCGGACAAAGTAGCTGTGGTTTCCTGTGACTTGCTGATGAATACCGCTCTATTCTTAGTAGAAATATAACGTCTCCTTGGGTGGGGAAGGGATTCGGACCCCGCTAGGCTCATCTGTACTTTCTGATGTCCACTCGTTGATCATAGAGACGGACGGATATACCGACGACTTAACACTGTAGGCGTATCAACAGGGATTCATATGAACCTAAAAATGCACTGTTCCAACCATTTACGGGCTGACTATATTCCTCAAGTATTTACTTTAGTCTCCTCAATGATTATTATTCGCGTGACACTGAATTCGAACTTGTCTTTAAATTCAGTTCGATTCTTCCTCATCGACTTCTTTCACGTGCGCTGTCTGTTTAGTACGAGCACTAAAATTATAATGAAGAGTTCTGTCGCCTGGAATGTAATAACATGCAGTCTGATGAAAGTTAACGTTGTTTCGGAGGAACGTATAACCTCCATTTTTGTAGTCGGAGAGTAATCCATTCAAGAATCCAGCATGATATACAAGGTGCGACAATTTAATTCCCAGAGTGGCCCTGTGAAAGCAAAATTTGCTTACCTGTGCACTAGCGGCTGCTGTCGCCTTCGAAATACTGTCCTTGTGGAGCCATGCACTACGTGACATGGTGGTGCCACTGCCATAAGCAGGCTTAAAAATCGTTTTCCGAAGTATATCGTAGTAAAGCTGTCGCTTTCGTTGGATGTCAGGGTAGTCAGCAAATCTTTGTCCATTCAGGGCATTTTTTAATTTTGGAAAGGGCCAAAAATCGCAGGGGGCTAAATCAGGTGAAGTAAGGTGGGTGGCCCATTTTTTGTAATGGATTGCTTAGCCAGGAACTCGCGAACTCTTAACGCATAAATTAACCTTACTTAAAAGAAATTAATTTACATCCCAATATTTTCCTTCTGGTCGTCGTCCTCTCTTCTCACGCCGTCTCAACCGGTTTCAACTACCACCATATTATTATCTTCCATTGCAGAAGTAAAGTGCACGAAATTAAAAAATACAACCATGTATTACGTCGGACGAACATACCCACTTAAGATTAAGATGCTTAATAAGATGATGTGAGCAACTAATCAAACATAAGTTTCCTCAGTGTGCGCTCCTTCTAATCTGGAAATCGGATGCCTGCTTGAACTCGTTGATTATTCTCGGGAATTACGGTTTCGTTGCGGTTGCTAGTTTCCTTGGTGTGCCCTAGCGCTACAAAACCTTGCACCAACGCAATTATGAGAAAGCTGGCATGCTCCGTTGCCTGGAAGTTGATTTTCTCAGTCTTTCGGCGAGTTGCGTTGCCGTTTACTCAATTTGCTCCGCTCCATTCAGTAACATGTGTTCAACTCAGGCTGGTAACAGTTCTGGAAGTTGCGGTTGCCAGTTTCCTTGGTGTGGAATCAGCGTATCCAATATGGCAGGACGTTTAGGTGTCGTTGTTGATCGCACTCTAGTTTACATCAATAATAATAATAATAATAACAGTAAAACAAATGAAGAAGCGTGTGCTTGTGGTAAATTTAAAACAGCACTCAGTTCACAACAAAAAAATATTGAGCTGCTGCAAGACAGGATAAATACGCCCAATCGGACCGTAAGTACAGACGCATGTTACTTGCAACACAACGAGAATTCCGCACAATTGGAAATCAAAAAAGGGAAATGGGTTCATGTGCCCTCTATCGCGTCGGAAAAGCGACAGTAAGCCAGAAGTAAACTATGAGAGCACGTTAGACAAGAAAAGTGACAACAAATTAGAACAACAAGGAACCGAAGCCCGGACGTCTGGCAGATGCAGAAAACCTCAAATAACAAGGAAAGATGATGTTTTATGATCAACAGGTCTTGTCAAAGAGAGTGATCTAATAATGATAGGTACGCACACTGCCCTCGGTAAACTAGTTATAACATAACTATCTGGGTAACAGTGGACAAAGAAGAAGCTAACCTACCAAACAGTAAAATGAATCAAGCAAACGGAATCATAAACAGAACTAGTAGTACAGTAAAATCAACACAACATAAGATATTAAAAGTATTCCACCAGAATATATGAGGCCTAAAAAACAAAAGGAATGAACTAATGAGCTCCCTGTATTCAGCTATTCCGCACATATTATGCCTCACCGAACACCATACGAAAAGACTAGAATTAGAACACATCCACATAGAAGCTAGGTGTTGCCATTGTTGCATATGCCTGTCTCATAATATTGTGCACTCAGGTTTTAGCATTGTAGCACTTGTCTGACAGAAATCTGTTTTGGTAAATGTTAAAACTCACTGGAAATTTCAAACTAAGATATATTTGTTCTGATGGTTTTTGGTGATGGTCTGGTATCATGATGTGAGGTGTTACCTGTTTATACAGTAAAGTATTTTTACCAGGTAAGGAAGATTCGGCATATACCTTTGAAAGCTGAAGATATAAAGCTGGATAGGTAGTGGGCTCATGACTTTGGGTCTCACTCCTCTAGAGGAAGTCGACATGCTGCACGTGGTGATCGCAATGAAATGGAGAATTGACAGTGATGCTGTGGAAACTGGGGATGTTCCAGGTGAGTACAGTTTTGTTAAATTTTATGTAGTTCTAGAAGTGTGAAGTGCCAAGACAGTTGGCAGCATGGTAAAACTGGCTGGAGCATGACAGTGATCACTCACTCAGTCTGAGAAGGCCAGGAGCCTCAGGTCAGCACTCTATATATATATATATATATATATATATATATTGTGACATGATGGCTGAAAGGCAGAATAGCAGGAACTGAAATTCACCCATCACTGGGTAATGGCTTCAAACAGTGGAGATTCCTCTATTCCCCTGATCATTGCTAACCACCAGCTATGAATACTGACCCAAGACTCAACTTGGCTGCGTAAACTGCATAAAAAACACCACTTTCAAGAACTCCATTGTTGACTGATGTGTTAAGCAGGCTGTTGCCTAGTGGCCTGCCAGGTTTTGATGATGTGGTAAGTGATTTGATTGCCATGGAAATGTGTTTCCCAATCGCTGCCTAACAGTGAACCACTTCTCTGGCCCCAGTATTGCTGCTTTCATCCATTATGTTACAGCATGTTCTGGTGCATGCATGATGTTTGGAGTACAGAACTGAGCAACTTGGCTGTAGCAGTAACAGCTGTGATCTATAATTAAGGGGTGCCTTGTTTGAATTTCAGCTGGAACATCTGGCTACCCTGACTGAGGTTCATCATGGTTTTTCACAGTACCTCCAGGAAAACGCTGGCTGGACTTAGTATCTCTAATCAGGTGACAACCACCAAGGCTTTTGAATACATTATTTACTAATCATCAGCCATTTGATGTTATATAGTTTCAGCTATGAAGTGTGTTGTAATATCATGAAGAGAAATGTTGTGCAGCAGGAATTCTGAATATTGATAATGATCAGAAATGACTTTCAGTGCCAGAAGAGGCAAAGTCCACAAGCATTTTGAAGGAATGTCGGTGGACTTACAGGGTGTTACTTCCCACAAGATAGTGCCTTTCTTAATCTCCTCTGTAAAAATCTTTTATTTTTTCTCCCTGTGCAATGTGCATGAAATAAGGGTAGAAAAGACGCTACAAGGAATTGTGTGTGAAATTGAAATAGGGATGAATAAATAGCTCAGAACATGATCAAACGAAAAACTAGTAAGTTCTTGTAATTTGATTCATTGCAAAGTGAATTATGTTTTCTTAGGTTCATAATGTTAATCATCACAGTATTCTCATTCCAAACTCAGAATTATTTTAGCAGGTCTACGTTGCTCGGCAGAATGAGAATATGCTTATAATAGAACTGTAACATTAAAACATTTTGTGATATTAAAAAGCGTTTGAGATATATTTTGGCAAAGAAGTTTTGTGATGATCAGTATAGTCAGAAGAATTCTGTATGATGCCATGTAGTCCATCAAAAATCATCCAAAGTTTCAGAGGAGCATGTAGCCTGTATCTTCAGAGTCAAAGAGTAAAACAAACATGAAACCAACATGTAGCAGGTAGGCAGGAAGCTTGGCTTTGCACTCATTTGGGCCCCTTAGAAAGAGCTAATCTCAATCACGGGATCTGATTGAGATTAGCTCTTTCTAAGGGGCCCAACTGAGTAGGTTCAATACTTTTTGAACACACCATGTATGAGTTAGTTGTGATGGAAATGGGAATGTTACATATTTTTATCATTTCACAAAATGACAGATTGACTATCTATGGACCATACCCCTATTTTCTGGCTGTAACTTCAGAATGAAAGGATGTTGGCTGTTACTCAGAAACATGGTCTCATTCTGTAAGATCCTAAAATACAGTGACTTTAATGTTGTCTCTATTTCTAATTTCAGATACCTATCTCATGAATTTCACAGAAAGGGACCTGGCAGAAATAAAGTAGAGGAAGGAATGAAGAAGGATGAACAGGAAGGAGTGAGTATCAGTGCACATCTGGTCATTAGCTGTTATTTCTAAATAATATTATATTGTAGCACCGTTCAGCACTTCATTTAGTATCAGATGGTTTCACAGTCCCACGTGTGGCATGTCCTATAAAACTTACTAAAAGTTATTTAATTTAAAAGTTTTATATATCATATAGATTTTAACTTATTAAACATTATTCACTACATGTTTTGACCTATAAGGTCATGATCAGGTGTTTTAAAATTATAAATGAGGAAACTGCTGTACTTCCATGTTGCGGTTGTTGGTCATTACTGTGCGGTCCCTTTTGTGTGCATGTATATGTGAAGTGGTGGGTTGTTCTGCCTGCAGTGTTATGGTGTGTGTCCCTCTTGCACTGCATAACACAACAGGCAGAACAACCCGCCACTTTGTATATACATGCACATAGAAGGGACCGCTAAGTAACCACCAAAAGCTGCAATATGGAAGCACAGCGGTTTCCTAATTTATAATTTTAAAACATCTGATGATGACCTTTTAGGTCGAAACATATAGTGAATAACTTTTAATAAGTTTTATAGAAAGGTATGCTGCATGTGAGACTGTGAAACCATTTGATGCTATTTCTATAATGGTGCTCCATAAGCAAGTAAATTGTAGTTATCCTTAAATGCCCATGATTCCACATATCAGATAGATATCCATCCAGACTTTTTGTGCATTCATTTTCTGCTGACTACAAACATAAACAGTAGCTTCAGTCCCGGGACAGAAGCGAATACAGCAACTTTGTAGCAAGTAAGATGGAGCCTGCTCATAAAAGCACACACTCCTATACACATCATATTTGTTCAGTTGTCATTAGGCTAATAGACATAGACACAGACCATGGGTTGGAATTCAAGCAGCAGACTAATGTGAAATTTGGCCAGCTGTTAGGATAATCAGTGACAGGAGCTGCAGACACTTCATATTATTTAATGGCAGACAGACTGTGCCCCATCTGAAGTGTCAGTCTCAAGGAGATTAATTTTTATTTGAACAAATATTTTTTGTTTCAAGTTGATGAAACAGATGAGCTCAACAGACACCCCACTTGGAAAGCTTAGCCTCTTGCAGCAGGAACAGAAAGAAATGCAGTCTCCATTCATGGTCCTCAGTGGCAGTAAACAAACATGACCATGCTCCTTGTCTGCCATTCATTGAAAAGAGCAGCCAGTTCTAATAAAAAATTATATTGTATTTATTAACTGTCAGACTTAGACATGAGAATACAGAATTCAAGATGAAACCAGTCAACTCAGTTCAAAATTTGTCTATTCTTCACGTTGCAAATAACAGTAATTCATAGCTTTAACTTAAAGGCTGAAGTCATATAGAATGTAGATAATGTCATCTGGTGATTATACTACCGCCAAGTAAATATTGGTTATCTGAGCATATCATTCATCTTGTTATAATTTTTATACTGTACATCATAAAATGTCATTTTAATGATGGATTGATTAATAAGACTTCCTTCCTTGGCACTGTGAAGCTTTACTAAAAATTTCTGTTTTTGATGCAGAATATGAAATTTAATTTTCAAAAAGAACCACTGTATGAGGTTTTTGTGAAATCTTCTAGTTTAACCTGTGCATTACTACATTTTCTTTTATTTCTTTCTTTTTCAGGGCAGCCATCTTGAAAACAAAACTGTAAATTCTTCATGAAATGCGCTGGCACCAACTCTGAAATTTAGTGTGGACTTATGTCTTTATTGTTTCTTACTGTCTGGAATATCATCTCTATTTTGAAATGAGACACAGCCTGCAGCTGCCGATAGCACCTGTATATACTGGAAGGAAGGTCACAGAGTTCATGTCACACTCAAATGAGTACAGTGGTTCTCCTCCTTCCTTAGGTAACCTATTGGCTCCTGTAGGCTGAAAAGTACAATTTCTAGTGATTAGTTGAATACTTATAGGACTTAAGCCAGATGAACAGCCTCTAAGCTAAATTGGACATGAAGTAATTATATTTGGCCTCTCTTGATTGCAATAGCAATATTTGTACACACCCCCATCCATTCTGCATTCAACTCTGAAAATTGGCCAGTGAACAGTGTGACATGTGTCCTTTCAAGAGAAGAAAGAAACCTTTGTTCATTGGTAGGCCAGTATGGAAAGCTGTAAAATTATACAAGCAACAGAATCTGATGTACAGTCTACTGCAAATCATTGTCAAGCACCACTGATATATTACTGAAACACATGTAATGGGTTCTAAAAGTCCTGTGTTAAATCCACATGCAGATGATTAAGAGTCTTCTGTAGGTACGAAGGCAAATCGAAAAGTCTTTCCCCCAATATTTCTTCAGCCACAATAATACACAAACAGGGAAATCAAAATACAGGCAGTGTTCTAAGTACCTTTGACTTTTTTCCACATAGTCACCACCCCAGTTCAGGCATTTGTCCCATCGCACCACTAGTTTGAAGATGCCTCTGTTGTAGAATTCGGCCGGTTGAGTGCGGACCCACCACCGGACAGCAGTTTTTGCCTCGTCTGAAATGAACCTGTGGTCTGCCAGAAACTTCAGTGGACCGAACACATGGTAATCACTGGGGGTGAGGTCTGGACTATATGGTTCATGCTCCATAATCTCCCATCCGAATGATTGCAGCCACGCCTGGGGATTCTCGTGGATGATGTGGTTCTCCTCCATGACAACACCAGGCCCCATGTGGCAAACAGGACCACTGCCCGACTGCAGTCATTCGGATGGGAGATTATGGAGCATGCACTGTATAGTCCAGACCTCACCCCCAGTGATTACCACATGTTGGGTCCGCAGAAGAAGTTCTTGGCAGGCCAGAGGTTCATTTCTGATGACACGAAAACCGCTGTCGGGCGGTGGTTCCGTGCTCAATCGGCCAAATTCTACAACAGAGACATCTCCAAACTAGTGGTGTGATGGGACACATGCTTGATCCGGGGTGGTGACTATGTGGAAAAGTAATCAAAAGTACTTAGAACACTGCCTGTATTTTGATTTCCTTGTATGTGTATTATTGTGGCTGAAAAAAAAATAGGAGCAAAGACTTCTCGATTTGCCCTCGTATATGAAAACTCAAAACACACCTTCACACATAGACTTGGCCAATAATAATATCAGGTCACACAACTATGTAAAACTGATCATAAAGCATCTTGGAGGTGATGATAATGATTTGAACCAAAATGAATATATAAGTCAATGTTGGACATTATCTGAAATCTGAATTATAATGCAGAGTTGAATGTTCTCATGTGTTATTAATCTTCACTACAAAAGGTACACAGACAGACTACAGGTATTCCCAAACTTACATTTTTCTTGATATCAGTAATTTAAAAATATAAGTTGACAACCTCGGTGACATTCATTCCAGCCACCTAATTATTTGAGACAATTTCAGTGTTTTTGTAGTTGTTAATGGAAATTAACTTAAATCACATTATTACAAAAGTTGTTATATTTGTAGTTACTATAGGATTCTGACGATGGTGTATAACACACTGATATATTGGGTTTTCGGACTTTATCCATCGTCCTGGTTTTTAAGATAACTAATAAAAACACGATGTTTCAGAAACTGGATCTGTTTCCGTCCTCAGGTGAAGGAAAACGCCTATTCTGTTGGGTCCGTTAGAAAGAGCTAGCCTCAATCACTGGACCACGACTGGACGTCGTGTTTTTATTAGTTATCTTAAAAACCAGGACGATGGATAAAGTCCGAAAACCCAATATATCAGATTGTTATATTTGTGTAAAGCACAATAGATCATTGAAGGTCGCAGTGTGAGGGCCAGATTTTATGGCCCACCCCTTACACATACATTTGTATATTTCTTCATGAAATAGAAAGGGATGTGGTGTATTTATAATTTAACCATTCAGTTATGTGTGGTTACTTGCAAAGTTTGAATTATGTATGAAGTTTTGCTCTTTGCTAACAGTATGAAGTTGATTTTAGTTTGTAACATTCTCACTCAGAGCAGTCCGTTTATGGTTATTGATGGTCATTACTATCCATGCTTACAATTGATGCCAGTAAGTGATTAATTTTTCAGTAAGTGGTTTTCAAACAAAAGGTATGACACACCTGTCAAAAGAAACTGAAGATTTTGTTTCTTTATTGGTCAGTATCCTGTTGAGAAAGATACAATAAAATGATTTCACTTGGTGTAGTATTTAAATGTATATCATCTTTAGGAAAAATGTTTTAATTTCATAATATATTTGTATGCACTAAAATTTTAACTTTAAACTTGAGGTGGCTGTGTGCAGTTGGAGCCCAGGCAGGGCCACTGAAGCATCAGGCCAATAGCTGTAAATTCTTGCACTTGTAGACTTGCAGTTTCTTATTAATTTGTATAGATTTCCTAACAGACTCACTACTGTGATGAAGAGTTGTTTGGACAAAGCTTTGAGAGTTGATTTCATTATGTAACGTAATTCATGTGAACTGATCACAGTTCAGTTTAATCAGTACAGCACAATTACTGTATTCACAGAATTACTGGGATTTTGGACTTTTTCCATCCTCCAGAATTTAAGGTAATAGAGGACACGATGTTTTGGAAACTGAAACGTCATGTCCTCTATTACCTAAAATTCCAGATGATGGAAAAAGTCCAAAACCCCAGTAATTCTGTGTGTCATCCACCATCTTCAGAGCCCTTTAGAATCTTAACTAATGTATAGTTGTAGTGTGCCAATATTTCTTGTTCATAAGTGGAAGTTCACCCATCTACAAGCACCAGTGTTACATGTGAAATTTGAGATATTCATGGCAGTGATTATGAGGAAGTTGGAAGTGACGCTTTGTAGGCAGGTAGGAGACCGCCAACATTTTGAAGGAACGTACTGCCACCATCATAAGGGTAGACTTCTACCACATACATTCTATCACATCCTGACTTTTTAGCAGTATTATTGAGGACCAGTCTTCTGAAATGTAATACTCCGTAATTTGTTTGAGCTGACACTTCAGACAAATATGCTTCCTCCATCTTCAGGATAGAAAATTGAAGCTGAAAGCAGTGTGTTCCTTTGAAATGTCATTAAACTTCTACCAACCTACACAGTATCATATCCCGTATCATCAGCCAAATGAAACTGCTGTTTGTGGATGACCTGATTTCATATTGTGAATTCAAACATCTGTACGTATGTAATCTAAATGTCTGATATCTGGAGTCATCCTAAAGATGGAGGCACACATTCCACCTAAATGTTAGTATCCACGTATCAGACTGCAGCGTGGTGTGTTTCACCAGTGCACTGGTATCTGCCTGCCGGACTACAACACAGTGTTATAGCACACAACGATCCCACCAAGGAACCTGATGATTATACAGCTTTCCAGTTTTGTCAGGAAAGTTACATCAAGGACTTGGGAACACAAATACTTTTCATTTCTGTGCATCCTGTTGTGTTATTATATACAATTCTTTATTGGAGTCCCGTAATGCAGCAACATAACGGTCAAGGTTAAAATTACCTAGCTACATGTTTTGGCTTTTTAAAGCCATCATCAGGCAAAGAACATGATTACTAATTGTGTCTGAATATAGTAATCATGTGTTTTGCCTGATGATGGCTTTAAAAAGCCGAAACATATAGCTGGGTAATTTTAACCTTGACCGTTATGTTGTTGTGTTATGACAGACTCCAATAAATAATTGAACACAAATACCTGCAATATTTTTGTTGGAACATGCTGGAAAGCATCCACTTGGCAAAGCAAAAGTGGTGGAAGGAAGATATCAAACCATATCGTGACAGAACTGGATATAAGACTGTGGATCATGATGTGTCCACTGGTAGGCTTTGGTATTAGCAACATTCATCCTGGAAGGGTATGCTGAAAGTAATGCCTCCATAAGACAGTGGTGAAAATGTAGTTCTGTCCTGCTGAACTTACAGAAGTACAGGTACTCCTTGGTATATGGAGTTTGGAAACATGTTTCATTTTAATGCAGTCAATTTAGGCCTGTAACACTTGCTTTAGTATGAACTAATTGCTGGCCCAACAAGAGAGGTCAGAAGAAGGGGGAATTAGGATGCTGTGCAGGTGTGGAGGAGGAATGCAAGGGGAGAAGAGAAAGTTCGGTCTACCTGATGTCAATTATGTCATTGCACCCCCTATGACTCCTTTTGGGAATACAACTAATGCATTAATTGATGAATACCTGTACATGAAATATGTCAGCTGTGGCTGGACTGCAGAAGTGGTTGTTTGAGAAGTAATTGTATAAAAGAGGGAACAAAATTCAAGGAAGGCCGCTCCATAGCTCAAGTGGTTAGTTGCTGGCTTCCCACTGCGGCGGTCCGGGTTCGATCCCGGGTCTGGTCAAGTGGGATTTGTGGTGGACAAAGTGGCACTGGGGCAGGTTTTCTCTGAGTACTTTGGTTTCCCCTGCCAATCTTCATTCCACCAATTGCTCCACAATCACCCTCACCTATCATCTGGGGCTGGTACAATAGGCCAGAAGTGGCCGCAGTACAAGAGACTTAGTCCCACCCCACTAGCAATAAAAAAAATGTTCAAGGAAGGTAGCCATTTCTGTTTCAATGAAATTGCTGTTATGGAAAAGAAATTGGGAGTCATTACTTTCAGCATGCCCTTGTACAAGCTCTGTCACCAGGAGAAGACAGATACACTTCCCAATGAAATATCCCACATTGTGAAATTGAAATCCATATTTAGATATTTGTTGCTTAACCTCCAGTGGTGTCCTGCGTACAGAGCACACTTGCCATTGTATCACATCACTACGTGGAACACAGAATACCTATGGCAGCCATAACTTCTGTCTCTAACAGTGATATTATATTAGAAGTGCCAGTTTTTTATAGCAGTTCAGAAAAAGAAAATGCTATAAGCTGTCTATTCATGTATGGGTAGTCATATTTTGAAATTTCTGTGGCATATAACAAATACTGTGTACATCTGAAATAAAATTACCCTACTTTACCTTTTATCTACAGTGTAAACCTCACATTAAACATAAGATTTGAAGCTTTCATGGCAGCTGCAGTGGATGAAATCTGCTCTGGCTTTCAGCCGTGTCAATTGGTATCACCGATGTTGCAGGGACCATCTCTCTCCCTATCATCAGACATGGCTGATAGCCCAAGAATATTTTATCAGCTCATGTCACAACTTTCTTCCTTTAAAACAGGGTTATGAGATCTCATTGCTGTCTGCGTATGCTCCACTCCCTGAACCTATTCATCCATGATTGATGTAAGATTAAAATATTCCTACAGGTAAGTCAGCTACAAATATGAGCAGAAAGGAAACGTGACATAGGAACGAGTATTTCGCAATAATAATGCTGCTGCTGCTAACAAGGATGACAGCAGTTT